CCCTGACTCACTCACCCTGACTCACTCACCCTGACTAACTCACCCTGACTCACTCACCCTGACTCACTCACCCTGACTAACTCACCCTGACTAACTCAACCTGACTAACTCACCCTGACTCACTCACCCTGAATAACTCACCCTGGCTCACCCTGTCTCACCCTGACTAACTCACCCTGACTCACTCACCCTGAATAACTCACCCTGACTCACTCACCCTGACTCACTCACCCTGACTAACTCACCCTGACTAACTCACCCTGACTAACTCACCCTGACTCACTCACCCTGACTAACTCACCCTGATTAACTCACCCTGACTAACTGACCCTGACTCACTCACCCTGACTAACTCACCCTGACTAACTCACCCTGACTAACTCACTCTGACGAACCTACCCTGACTAACTCACCCTGAATAACCTACCTTGACTAACTCACCCTGACTAACTCACCCTGGCTCACCGTGCCTCACCCTGACTAACTCACCTTGACTAACTCACTGTGACTAACTCACACTGACTAACTCAACCTGACTAACTCACCCTGACTAACTCACCCTGACTAACTGACCCTGACTTACTCACCCTGACTCACTTATCCTGACTAACTCACCCTGACTAACTCACCCTGACTCACTCACCCTGACTCACTCTCCCTGACTCACTCACCCTGACTCACTCACCCTCACTAACCTACCTTGACTAACTCACCCTGACTAACTCACCCTGGCTCACCGTGCCTCACCCTGACTAACTCACCTTGACTAACTCACCCTGAATAACTCACCCTGACTAACTCACCCTGACTAACTCACCCTGACTAACTCACCCTGACTAACTCACCCTGAATAACTCACCCTGACTAACTCACCCTGACTCACTCACCCTGACTCACTCACCCTGACTCACTCACCCTGACTAACTCACCCTGACTAACTCAACCTGACTAACTCACCCTGACTCACTCACCCTGAATAACTCACCCTGGCTCACCCTGTCTCACCCTGACTAACTCACCCTGACTCACTCACCCTGAATAAACTCACCCTGACTCACTCACCCTGACTCACTCACCCTGACTAACTCACCCTGACTAACTCACCCTGACTAACTCACCCTGACTAACTCACCCTGACTAACTCACTCTGACGAACCTACCCTGACTAACTCACCCTGACTAACCTACCTTGACTAACTCACCCTGACTAACTCACCCTGGCTCACCGTGCCTCACCCTGACTAACTCACCTTGACTAACTCACTGTGACTAACTCACACTGACTAACTCAACCTGACTAACTCACCCTGATAAACTCACCCTGACTAACTCACCCTGACTAACTGACCCTGACTTACTCACCCTGACTCACTTATCCTGACTAACTCACCCTGACTAACTCACCCTGACTCACTCTCCCTGACTAACTCACCCTGACTAACTCACCCTGACTAACTCACCCTGACTCACTCACCCGGACTCACTCACCCTGACTAACTCACCCTGACTCACTCACCCTGACTCACTCACCCTGACTCACTCACCCTGACTCACTCACCCTGACTAACCTACCTTGACTAACTCACCCTGACTAACTCACCCTGGCTCACCGTGCCTCACCCTGACTAACTCACCTTGACTAACTCACCCTGAATAACTCACCCTGACTAACTCACCCTGACTAACTCACCCTGACTAGTTCACCCTGACTCACTCACCCTGACTAACTCACCCTGATTAACTCACCCTGACTAACTGACCCTGACTCACTCCCCCTGACTACCTCACCCTGACTAACTCACCCTGACTAACTCACCCTGTCTAACTGACCCTGACTAACTCACCCTGACTAACTCACCCTGGCTCACCGTGCCTCACCCTGACTAACTCACCTTGACTAACTTCACCCTGACTAACTCACCCTGACTAACTCACCCTGACTAACTCACCCTGACTCACTCACCCTGACTAACTCACCCTGATTAACTCACCCTGACTAACTGACCCTGACTCACTCACCCTGACTAACTCACCGTGACTAACTCACCCTGACTAACTCACCCTGACTAACCTACCCTGACTAACTCACCCTGACTAACATACCTTGACTAACTCACCCTGACTAACTCAACCTGGCTCACCGTGTCTCACTCTGACTAACTCACCTTGACTAACTCACCGTGACTAACTCACACTGACTAACTCACCCTGACTAACTCACCCTGATAAACTCACCCTGACTAACTCACCCTGACTAACTGACCCTGACTTACTCACCCTGATTAACTCACCCTGACTAACTGACCCTGACGCACTCACCCTGACTAACTCACCCTGACTAACTCACCCTGACTAACTCACCCTGACTAACTGACCCTGACTAACTCACCCTGACTAACTCACCCTGACTAACTCACCCTGGCTCACCGTGCCTCACCCTGACTAACTCACCCTGACTAACTCACCCTGACTAACTCACCCTGACTAACTCACCCTGACTCACTCACCCTGACTAACTCACCCTGATTAACTCACCCTGACTAACTGACCCTGACTCACTCACCCTGACTAACTCACCCTGACTAACTCACCCTGACTAACTCACCCTGACGAACCTACCCTGACTAACTCACCCTGACTAACCTACCTTGACTAACTCACACTGACTAACTCACCCTGGTTCACCGTGCCTCACCCTGACTAACTCACCTTGACTAACTCGCTGTAACTAACTCACACTGACTAACTCAACCTGACTAACTCACCCTGGTAAACTCACCCTGACTAACTCACCCTGACTAACTGACCCTGAATTACTCACCCTGACTCACTTATCCTGACTAACTCACCCTGACTCACTCACCCTGACTCACTCTCCCTGACTAACTCACCCTGACTAACTCACCCTGACTAACTCACCCTAACTCACTCACCCGGACTCACTCACCCTGACTAACTCACCCTGACTCACTCACCCTGACTCACTCTCCCTGACTCACTCACCCTGACTCACTCACCCTGACTAACCTACCTTGACTAACTCACCCTGACTAACTCACCCTGAATAACTCACCCTGACTAACTCACCCTGAATAACTCACCCTGACAACCTCACCCTGACTAACTCACCCTGACTAATTCACCCTGACTCACTCACACTGACTAACTCACCCTGATTAACTCACCCTGACTAACTGACCCTGACTCACTCACCCTGACTACCTCACCCTGTCTAACTGACCCTGACTAACTCACCCTGACTAACTCACCCTGGCTCACCGTGCCTCACCCTGACTAACTCACCTTGACTAACTCACCCTGACTAACTCACCCTGATTAACTCACCATGACTAACTGACCCTGACTCACTCACCCTGACTAACTCACCCTGACTAACTCACCCTGACTAACTCACCCTGACTACCCTACCCTGACTAACTCACCCTGAATAACCTACCTTGACTAACTCACCCTGACTAACTCACCCTGAATAACTCACCCTGACTAACTCACCCTGGCTCACCGTGCCTCACCCTGACTAACTCACCTTGACTAACTCACTGTGACTAACTCACACTGACTAACTCACCCTGACTAACTCACCCTGATAAACTCATCCTGACTAACTCACCCTGACTCACTCACCCTGACTCACTCTCCCTGACTAACTCACCCTGACTAACTCACCCTGACTAACTCACCCTGACTCACTCACCCGGACTCACTCACCCTGACTAACTCACCCAGACTCACTCACCCTGACTCTCTCCCTTACTCACTCACCCTGACTAACTCACCCTGACTAACTCACCCTGAATAAATCACCCTGACTAACTCACCCTGACTCACTCACCCTGACTCACTCTCCCTGACTAACTCACCCTGACTAACTCACCCTAACTCACCCTGACTAACTCATCCTGACTAACTCACCCTGACTAACTCACCCTGACTCACTCACCCTAACTAACTTACCCTGACTAACTCACCCTGACTCACTCACCCTGACTAACTCACCCTGACTCACTCACCCTAACTAACTTACCTTGACTAACTCACCCTGACTAACTCACCCTGACTAACTCACCCTGACTCACTCACCCTGCCTGCCTAACTCACCCTGACTAACTCACCCTGACTAACTCACCCTGACTAACTCACCCTGACTAACTCACCCTGACTCACTCACCCTGCCTGCCTAACTCACCCTGACTAACTCACCCTGACTAACCTACCCTGACCAACTCACCCTGACTCACTCAACCTGACTCACCCTAACTAACTCACCCTGACTCACTCACCCTGACTCACCCTGACTCACTCACCCTGACTAACTCACCCTGACTAACTCACCCTGACTAACTCACCCTGACTAACTCACCCTGACTCACTCACCCGGACTCACTCACCCTGACTAACTCACCCAGACTCACTCACCCTGATCTCTCCCTTACTCACTCACCCTGACTAACTCACCCTGACTAAATCACCCTGACTAACTCACCCTGACTCACTCACCCTGACTCACTCACCCTGAATCACTCACCCTGTCTCACTCACCCTTACTCACTCACCCTGACTAACTCACCCTGACTCACTCACCCTGACTAACTCACCCTGACTAACTCACCCTGACTCACTCACCCTGACTAACTCACCCTGACTCACTCACCCTGACTAACTCACCCTGACTAACTCACCCTGACTCACTCACCCTGACTAACTCACCCTGACTAACTCACCCTGACTAACTCACCCTGACTAAATCACCCTGACTAACTCACCCTGACTCACTCACCCTGACTCACCCTGACTAACTCACCCTGACTCACTCACCCTGACTAACTCACCCTGACTCACTCACCCTGACTCACTCTCCCTGACTCACTCACCCTGACTAACTCACCCTGACTCATCCTGACTAACTCACCCTGACTCACCCTGACTATCTCACCCTAACTCACCCTGACTCACCATGACCTGCCCCCCCCCGCGAGCAGGAGCGACTGGAGCAGCTGGCGCGTGAGGAGGCGGAGCGAGCGGTGCGCGAGCGTGAGGAGCTGCGCCAGAAGAAGGAGCGAGTCTTCCAGAACGAGCGCTCGCGCAACGAGCCCGTCAGCGACTCCGACATGGTGGACCGCGTCTTCGGCTTCCTGGGCGCCACGTCCACCGCGCCTGGCACCGACGGACAGCCGCCCTGCGGATTCGAGGTGCGAGCCTCTCTCCCCGTGTCTCTCCCCACAGCTCCCCCCACACCTCCCCCCACACCTCTCCCCGCGTCTCCCCCCACACCTCCCCCCCCCCGTGTCTCTCCCCACACCTCCCCCCGCCCGTGTCTCTCCCCACACCTCCCCCCCACACCTCTCCCCGTGTCTCTCCCAACACCTCCCCACACCTCTCCCCACAACTCCCCCCACCCCTCCCCCCACGTCTCCCCGCGTCTCTCTCCACACCTCCCCCCACACCTCTCCCCGTGTCTCTCCCCACACCTCCCCCCGTGTCTCCCCCCGTCTCTCCCCGCGTCTCTCCCCACACCTCTCCCCGCGTCTCTCCCCCCACGTCTCCCCGCGTCTCTCCCCCCACCTTTCCCCGCGTCTCTCCCCCCACCTCTCCCCCCGTCTCTCCCCCCACGTCTCCCCGCGTCTCTCCCCCCACGTCTCCCCGCGTCTCTCCCCCCACACCTCCCCCCGTGTCTCTCCCCCCACACCTCCCCCCACACCTCCCCCCACGTCTCCCCGCGTCTCTCCCCACACCTCCCCCCGTGTCTCTCCCCACACCTCCCCCCACACCTCCCCCCACGTCTCCCCGCGTCTCTCCCCACACCTCCCCCCGTGTCTCTCCCCACACCTCCCCCCACACCTCCCCCCACGTCTCCCCGCGTCTCTCCCCCCGGCACGGCAGGACCTTGAGGGTGGGCGCCACCACGGGCTGGAGGAGGCGGACCTGGACGCGGCGCCGCCCCTGCCGGAGGACGACGGTGACGGCGACGCGGAGGATCTGGCGCTCCACACCTTCGCCAAGTTCGCCGCCACCTACTTCCAGGGCACCAGCTCCCACGCCTACGTGCGGCGACCCCTCAGGCAGCCGCTGCTCTTCCACGAGGACGAGGGAGACCAGCTGGTGAGGGGGGTCGAGGTGCGGGGGGCCTTGGGGGAGGCTGTAGGCGGTGGGTGAGTTAGTGGTGAGGATGAACGGTGGGGTGCAAGGTGGGGACCCCACGTGTCACACGTGACTGTGTCTCCCCGTGTCTCCCCCCATGCGTGTCCCCCGCACGTAATCCACACGTCCCCCGTGTCCCCCGCGTGTCCCCCGCGTGTCTTCACGTGTCCCCCGCGTGTCTCCACGTGTCCCCCACGTGTCCCCCGTGTCCCCCGTGTCCCCGCGTGTCCCCCGCGTGTCCCCCGTGTGTCCCCCGTGTCCCCGTGTGTCCCCCGTGTGTCCCCTGCGTGTCCCCGCGTGTCCCCTGTGTCCCCCGTGTGTCCCCCGTGTGTCCCCTGCGTGTCCCCGCGTGTCCCCCGTGTGTCCCCCGTGTGTCCCTCGTGTGTCCCCCGCGTGTCCCCGCGTGTCCCCCGTATCCCCCGTGTGTCCCCCGCGTGTCCCCGCGTGTCCCCCGTGTCCCCCGTGTGTCCCCGCGTGTCCCCCGTGTGTCCCCCGCGTGTCCCCCGTGTCCCCGTGTGTCCCCCGTGTGTCCCCCGCGTGTCCCCGCGTGTCCCCCGTGTCCCCCGCGTGTCCCCCGTGTCCCCCGCGTGTCCCCCGTGTGTCCCCCGTGTCCCCCGTGTCCCCCGTGTCCCCCGTGTCCCCCCCCCCCCGTGTCCCCCGCGTGTCCCAGGCGTCGCTGGCCGTGTGGGTGACGATCCTGCGCTTCATGGGAGACCTCCCCGAGCCTCGCTACCACACGGCGCTGTCGGACGGCAGCGAGAACGTCCCGGTGATGACCAAGATCTACGAGACTCTCGGCAAACGCAGCCAGCGCAGGGACGGCCCCAGCGTGCAGGGCGAGGAGGTGGACACGCTCACACAATGACAAAAACACCCGTGTAGCCTGTAACACACTTTTGGGGCAAGTGCTGTTAGCGAGCACCTATGAAGGCCAGCACGGCACGCGAGGGGGTGGGTGGCCAGCACCACGCCCGGCCGCCTTTGTCTCCCCAGTGGCGATGTTTACTGCACGCCGCACCAGGTACTAATTTGAGGCTGAGTCGACCCAGGGGAGGCACAGGACCAGATCAGATAATCGTCACCGGTGTTGGTGGCCGTGAGTGGGAATCGAACTCGGCTAGCCGCGATCGTAGCGCAGCTTAGCGCTAACTACTACACTCCCGCTCCCTACGCACACACACGTACACACACACACACACACGCACACACACGCATACATGTACACACACGTACACACACGCACACACACGCACACACACGTACACACACGCACACACACGTACACACGCACACACACGCATACACACGCACACATGTACACACACGCACACACACGTACAC